CTATATATATATATATATATGTTTATATATATATATATATATATATATATATATATATATATACACACACACATACACACACATTCAGGATCTCTCCAAGCCTTAAGGTAGGGACAGGAGATTGGCTAGCTGGCCATGGGTGGGAGGCTTGCTTTTTACTGAATGCCAATTATGAGAATTATGCTCACCATGAGCATTATTATGACATTGTGCTAAGTATTTTACATGCATTAGGTTCTGTTTTTATCTTCACTTCCCAGTGGGAGGAACTGAGTATGGCAGGCAGAAGAATGATTCCCCAAAGATGTCCACATCCTAATCTCTGGAAGCTGTGAATATGTTTCATTACAAGGCAAAAAGGACTTTGTAAATGTGATTAAGTTAATGATCTTGAGATGGGGAGATGATCTTAGATTATCAGGGTGTGAATGATGTCATCACCAGAGTTATTAGACAGAGGGAGGCAGGAGAGGCAGAGATGTGACCACAGAAGCTGAGGTCAGAGGGATGTGGGGTCATGAGCCAAGGAATGTGGGCAGCCTCTAGAACCTAGAAAGTAAAGAAAATCGATTCTCCTCTAGAGCCTCAGAAAGAACACAGTCCGGCTGACATCTTGGTTTTAGCCCAGTGAGATGAGACTCATTTTGGACTGCTGACCTGCAGAAGTGTAACAACACATTTGTGTCATTTTAAGCTATTAAGTTTCTGGTAATTTGTTACAGCAGCAATACAGACCTAATACACTGAGGCTTTGTGAGGTTAAGCAATTTTTCAGAAACTTCTAGCTTGTAAGTGGCAGAATTAAAACCCAGATTCACCTTCCTCTGCAGAAACTCCTAATGGATAGAAAAAGGATCAACAGGAGGAATTTGGAGAAGCATAGCAAAGATGGTACAAGGATCACGTTCAAGGTCAATAGTCTCCACCTGAAACCTAAAGCAAAGTCAACAAACTTGAATGCCTACCATGTGTGTTTTTGTTTTGTTTTGTTTTAATGAGGTAGGCAGGGTTTAATTAAAACCCAGGCTGAACAAGGTGGAAAGTGGCAATTCACACTCTTCCTATACAGTGATGAGTATTAGGAAATGGTGGGGACTGGGGCAAACTGGAAAGCATGGGGGGCTCACTGGTCAGTTCAGTTAAATGCTGTCATGTGGGAAGGTGGGCCCAGCACTGCCAAATCTATGATTCCTCAAAAGAAGCCAGAAACCTGGATTTCTGTGGGATTTTTAAAGATGGGAAACAAATAGAAAGTTTCTTAAAACACCGGATGGTCTAAACAAAACACAGCTCCGGACCACCAGTTTGCAACCTCTGGACTAAAGCTTCACATATCTGAACCTGGCCCAATATCGATTGTCTGTCCAATTCTCTGTCTCTGACCCCTGGCAGGAGAATCTGGAGGGAACGGAGCACTCTTGAGAAATTTTAACCTGAAAGGCCATTTGGATTTAAGGTCAGTTTGGATGTATTTGCACGGAGCATACATATAGGTGTAGAGAGAGAGTTCTTTTTCTCTCTATATAGGTATTTGTATAAGCAAAAGATTCAAGATAATCTAGTTTAAAGCTAGTATTAACTGAACAATCAAACAGCATATTACATATCATAAACAGTATCAGAGGCACATAATCTTATAGCAAATACAGCTGAACACCATACAGCTTTCTTCCCATTTGATTTCGGGGAAACTACATTTCTACATTCTCGGGTATGTTGCTTTAAGGATCTCTAATCTGTCTGGTTATATAAACATGGAAAAGCACAGTTTCTATTTTCTCCAAAATCAAACCCTAGATTTTAAAACTATAAATCGTTTTTGAGAACTTGTCAAAAAAAAGCAAAAGGATGTGGGCAAAGGTCAGCCTTGTTTTCTTTTATGGCTTTTTTCTTTACAAAAAAAAAGACGCATGCAGCAGGAGAAAGAAAGCAGCATTGGTTTTAGGCATTGGTTGCAGATTTTTTTTTTGGAGTTCCAACATGTGACGGCTTAAAGGCACCTCGGTGAAAATGACCACGCTGCGTCTCCTAGGGCTCAGAGCCCGGTCTCCCGTCCCTGAGCGCGGCCCCACCCCCGCCCTCGGCAGCGGCTGCCTCAAGTAGACAGGCACTGAATTAGCTTTCTCTCCCCTTCCCCTCCTAGAGAAGATTGTACTCCCTTCCCCTCATGCCTGCCTTCAAATCACCCAGTGTTATGGCGTCACAGCAGCTGGGACAGCAATGACAAAGACAAAAGGCATATCCTTGATGCATCATTTCACCACTAAAGTCTGGAAATTAGCCTTGTTTAATATTCTTTTGTACAGCATCTAAGACAGGAAGAAAGACAATTCATATACCCTCTGCACACTTTTCCGTTATTCTAGTTATTTCTTTAAAAATGTTAAAAGTGGCTTATCCAACACAAAAGTTTAATTATTTTACTATACAATTTCTATTCCTATGGGTTGTTTTGTTTTGTTCCGTTTTGTTTGTTTTTTAATCTTTAAGGACCAAGAACTGCAGTCACAACAAGAGGGAACTCTTCACTGAAAGCCTAGTACACAACGTGCCAGGCTTGTTAAACGTACATTCTCCTCTGTAGCCTTTGTAACATCGCAGTGAAGGAGGTATTCTGCCCTTTTTACAGATGAGCAAACTGAAGCCCAGTCTGGTGCAATTCCTTGCACAAGGCTCCAGCTAGGGAGCAGTGGCACCCAGGCCTATCTGAATCCCAAGGGCTAGCTCTTTCCAGGACACTTAACCCTTCCCAGGGCCTGCATTTAACAATGCATAGTCTGAATGAAAGCTCAGACTTGCTGCCGAGCATTTAGGAATAACTTGACCTTGACATCTACAAAATGAGACAACTATTAACAGTCAAAACAAATGGTTTGAAACAATTTAGCATCATGGAGCTTACTGAACTAAATTATTATAATTTAATATCACTATAGAACATAATACTGAGTTGTTGGCATCCAAACTATCACATTAGAATACACTGGGGAGAAGCTCATGACCTCAAGCTACAGAAAAGTGTTTCCAGTGCTGTGAGCTACTTCCACACTCTTCCCACGTACCCCACCCTTAAAGAGTCCAGAAAGTAAGAGTTACTCCAGGGATCGTCAAATAACTTGCCACATGACCTCAGGAGCAGGACTGTCCTGGGCAGGACTCTTTCCTTGTGGCTCGTCCTTCTTGTCTCAAATCTATTCTCAACCTTCTCTCTCACTCTTTCACAGTCATTGCAATCTCCAAGTAACCAGTTTGATCCTCTCTTTGGACTTTAAGTCCGCTGTCATCATCCTTTCAGGTGCTACCTTATCACAGCCTCCAGAATCAGCCCGACTCCAGAGAGCCTTCAAAGGTAAACCACGGTGTCATCAGCTGAGTTTCGGATTTTCTACTCTGGTCAAGCCCTATTCATGTTGGTGGAAGAAATTTGTCTTCCACTATAGTTCTGGGCTTCTGACTTAAATCTAACCAGTTTCGTTTCAATTTCATATCTGTTCCTAGGGACCACTTAAAGTAATTCATCTGTGAGAAGAGTAGAGGAAAGAAACAAAGAAAGGTAACAGACATATAACGCTCTTGCTTAAGGTCCAAACAAATGTCATCTCCTTTATGAGGCCTTCCCCCGTAGCTAGAAGTTCTTTCATAATAGTTCTTTATGAACATGTCCTACCTTCTGTATTAGACTGAGAACTCCCTCAGCTCAGTAGCCATTCCATACCTTTGTAAGGCACAGCGTGTGTAGCACAGTACTAGACATGTCTATTCAATGAGTACTGTGTGTTCTTTTTGCGTGTATATTTGTCTATGTGTATATATGCAAAACAAAGTTCAAAACTGGGAAAATACGTATGCACATAAAGGACTTGGGAATTTTCTGAAAGCTTAAGTCAATTACTTTTGATAACAAAAGTACTAACATCAGTTGCACCCAATATTGCAAAGCAGATACACAGGCATTACTTGTGCACCATAAATTGTCTGTTAAAAATCTGAAGCTATTATTCCCATAATACAAAATCATGTGTAAAGCTGAAGATACAATTTTGTCAAAATAAAAAGACTCACATCCTAAACTGTAATTTTTAAAATAGCATTTGGTGCTAAGAGCTTTAGGAAATAAATCATCTACTCACCCATTGATGCTCACTGTCATTCATACTGATTTATTTCCCTTATCTTACTTTTGATACCAAGTGTCATTTTTTTCTATGACTGACTTTGAGTTTCTTATTTTTTGTGTGTTGTCTTGATTATTTAAATAAGCAAGTATTATATTTTAAATCATAACATCAATAATGTCTTAAGTTTTGAAAGAAAAAGAGTAGCACTGAAAACCTTGTTGATGATCAGCTAGTTAATAAATTAGCTAGTGTTATTTCACATTTCTCCAGAATACACCTATTTTGTAGGGATATTTTACCTTTAGAAATTTGCTGGAAATTTAGGATACAAGTGAACCAACAACGGGCAAATCTGAGGTAGAAAAGTGTTTGAAATGTATCTGAAAGGAGAAATATCTAAATTCCAGACTATAATGAAAAATGAGTCACTTTTTTGCCCCTTTAAAAAAAAGTTGTCAACAGGCTAGAATTCTGCATCTTTCAAGTTTGAATTTGGGGAAGAATTGAAATCAGAAAGGTTTCAAATCATTAGACTTTACAATTTTTTTCACTTGTACAGTAACACCCAGGAAGGGCTGTCTTTTTAAATGCTGATGAAGTCGGCTCCAGATCTGTCCACATCATACTCTACTTGACCATGGTGAAAGGAAGGGAGAATCCTTTTGTCAGATATTATTTTAACTAGTGATTTCAAGCTATTCTGCCAAACAATTCAAAATTGTACAGTCTAAAATAACATGACTAACGGTGCTTCCTCATAACCTTGAGCACATTTAGATTTTGAAATGACATTCTACCTCCTTAACTCCTTTATATTTCCCTATGTCCATATCACAGTCATCACATCAATGCAAATCCATGCAAAGACAAGTCTCCATTCTCGCCATCTGTCCTTAAAAGCCCCATTCAGCAGTTTGTGCTATAGCACCATGCTGCAGCATCCCTGCACTTGAACTTGGGAATAGGCTTTCCAGGACTGCAGGCAGAGCCCTTACCGCATTCCTTCTGAACCTCATCTTGCCTCTCGGGGGAGTTGCTTCTGCCATCTCGCCTATACACAATAACACTCTTCTTTTCGAATTGTCAATGCAACATTGATGAAATATGAGCTGCTTCTTAGGTGGTGTTTAAAAGCGGCAGCCAAAAATCTCTATCAAACAAAGCTACTGTGGCTGCTTCCATTACCACCGTGGCAGCGCTGCAAAAAAAAAAAAAAAAAAAAAAAAAAAAAAAAAAAAAAAAAAACTATCCCTGATTAGTCAGCTGACAGATCCTTCCCTGCTGTTCATTGTAATTCAGAGTCGACACAGTCCCCCAATTACTTAGCCTGATTGAGCCTCATGGATTAGCTGGTGCTGGACTGCTCAAGACGATCAGGCACATCCTAAGTGTAGAGGAAGGAAAAAAAAGACTCTCTTCCTAGGAGCTTGATGGGACTGGCTTTTTCCTCTGCGCAGTTCGATTTTTAAGGTGGAATGCTAAGAATCTTTGTGAAGGTAGTATTCACTGATATCTTTATTCTTGTCCTACCCTGATCTGTAACTCAAAATTCAGTTCTGTTTTTTTTTTAGGTTAAATTCTATCCTGGGTTTAAGCCTTATGAAAGGTTAACAGTTTGTGTAATTTTGCCCTGACGATAATCTAGAAAGAATAGAACATGCAAACTTTCTAAGATGGATAGGATTCTCTCCAAAATAAACATTTCCCCAAAATGTATAACTTAAAAAAAAAATCTCCTATCATTATGAAATTGAACCTAACTGCATAGTTTCTTTTTGAATCTAGAAATTCAAGTCTCCAAACTAAATTGCATAATTACTTCATAGATAAGAGTTTAAAATAACATACCAAAGACAGTTCCACCTATCTGTACATGGCAAAGACCTCTGTTCCAAGCAACCTATTTGATTAATGAAAATAAAACTTTATCAAAAAATTGGTGCTGTGTGCCAATCAGTCACCCAATGAAAATTAATTTCATCAAGCAGGTAGTTTGGGCTAAAAGAAAAAAAAAGCTGGTCTGGGTGATTAAAAAAAGTTTTATTGTAACAAGTGCTATATTTAATATAAAAGAATTGATTATTGTCATAAACTAAAGTCTGTTCAACAAGCCCGAGGACCAATCCTAAAGGCCAAAGCAGGGCTTTTACGTTATTCAGCTCCATTGACAGGGCTCAAAAGTACATGGAGGGCAGCTGTACTCTCTCCAAAGGAATTTTACCTTTTTGTAAAAAAAAAAAAATTCATCTGTCTCATCAAAAGTCATTCAGAAAATGGGAGAAATCAGCAGGTGGAAAGGTCATCAACTGGAATTCATGGAAATGCTATTCTTGCTCAGGCTCTTTTCATTACTTAGCTGTTTGACTTTGGATTCATCACATAACCTTTCCAAAGTGCGTGTATCAATGTACTTCCCTCATCAGGACAATTATACTGATACCTGCCGGCAGGGCTTCATCAGGAAACAAAGACAATCAGCATTACTCAATAAATGTACCACTTTTGAAAAAGCAAAAATACATTATGTAAAGTCCAGGTTTTACTATTTTATTTTGGTAACGTGTGTGAATCTGGTATTAACTCTTCTCTCCATTGCTTATGATTAAGTACCTCTGTTATAAGAAATACACAAAAAACCCCACTGCTGGCATGCCCGAGACGAGGAATCATTCGTATTGAGTACAAGATGAATAACCATCTCATTCATTTTACCACGCGAGTGCCAGTGTTTTTCTCATACTCATCAGCAAAAAGAACACTGGCTCAGAAGTCCACCAACTTAGATTTGTGTCTTGCCTTCACAACTAAATTGACTGCCTCTGATGGGTGTGGTCTCCTCAGTCAGTCAGGAGACAAGGAAGAACTGCATATGGTTGATGATACTGGGCTCTCAAAGAAAACCATATATTGATTCTCAGCTACTCTGGTCGGATAGCAGAAGTTGACCACAATGGTACTTCCGCTGACAGGCCCACTCTTACCAGCTCAGGAGAAGTCTACGGGTTCCTCACCTCCCTCTTCTTCTATGAAAGAGAAGTGTCAGACAATATCCAGATGAGCCTAATGATGTAAAAGATTATCTTGGCTGTGGACAGGATTGCATCTCTTATACTGTCTCCTTTAGGGAAGCTCTTTTCTCTGTCTGGGTCTTGGGGAGCTAGGGACTAGATTCCAAGAGGTAAGATATGTCATTTTGCAGGTGACTGGCTTCCCACTCTATCCCAGGGGAAAAAAGTCTAGGAAGATACACACCAAAATGTTAAAAAGTGCTTATTTCTGGATGGTTGGATTACTGGCTGTTGTGTTGAGCCTTCTTTACACTTTTCCATATACAATGGGTATACAACACAGCTATTTCCATTTTTCAAAAAGTTCCCATAAAAACTTGCCTTGCCTTGAAAGGCATAGGGAATCACGAGTCTCTTCTCACTCAACTTGAACCATTAACTACTCGCTCTTTCCTATTAGGTTCTATTTTGGGTGGAGTTGTTTAGCTCAAACTCCTCTACCGACTCTTCTCTCTACTTTCCCACCTCCCCACCCCACCTATTTTTATTGTCTCTAACAGTATCAAAATAATCTGTAGCCCCATCATCAGAAAGTATAATGCAAAAAAATTAAGAAGTTACTGTAGAATGAATTGGTACTTACGGAAATTTTTTGGAGAGAGATTTTGAGAGAAGACCAGGTGTCCAACCTTCGATCAAGAATAATGGTAAACCGGGAGTCAGATCCATTTTGCCTACAAAATAAGAGGAGATAATATGTTTTTCTTAACAATAATCTAAATTTCCTAGATATGTCCTTACTTCTGATTATTTCATTTACACGTGATGTCTTGACTGAGGATAGATTTGGATTTGGAAAGCTATCACAAAGTGCTACATTGGAAAACCAATTAAATTCCATATTCTGCTACTCACTGTTAAAAATTTCTTTTCAGTTACTGATGTCAATCTTTTAAATAGACAAGTAATGTGTAATGTAGGCAGACTACTAAAATAAATCTGGAATACTGTGATTTGGGGCATGGGAAAACCTTACAGACAGCTGGCCTTTGTGACATCAGATTTAACTTTTCATGGCAAACCATCATGAGCCAATGATCCATTCACTCACCCATTCAAATCCTGTTATATACATGTTCATATCTCTTGTCTGTTCCTTGAAGGAAGGCAGTTTAATGGATAACAGAAGTTTTATTTGCCCTAAAAAGACCACTTTCAAGCTTTAAGGGGTACACTGTAAATTTAGTTTTCTGGGATTTGATTTTTGTTCGTGAGACTCTTCACAATATTACCATCCTAGATTTGTGCCATTTTGGTCTTCATGCTTAATAACTGGAAACTATTTCCTTTAAAAAAAATTGTTTTCAACTTAAATAAAATCTTTAAGGAAGCTTTTGAAACTTTCCCCTTAAAGTATTCTCATCTCAAATGATGGCTAACATCAAGAAGGTACTCCTATCTATTCCTGTATCACTTCTGAGTCTATTTAATGTTCATCCTTGGAAGAAATAAAGAATAGCTGTCCTCACACTTGGATAGTGAGATTTCCTTTTAGGCAAATTGAAGGCTTTATGTGTGATCATTTTCAATACTATGATCTTCTTCAATGGAGACAAATACTTCTAGGCCCTCAATTTTGTTTTCATAGACCCTCAGTATAATTTTTATGGCAATTTAGGTAGCTGTCAGCTTCCCCTTCTAAGTTTTCTTTCTTATCTACTTTGAAGGTGAGTCTTATGATCGTTTACAATACTAATAATAGCCACACTAAAATCCATTTTCTTGTTACTACATTCAAATGGGTATCCAATATAAAACAAATTGAAGAAAAATGCAATGAAATGCTATACCTTGCAATAGACGTCAAGTAAGTCAGCACTTTTGCAATCACTTCTTCTGGTATGCATCTGAAATTACAATTTTCTGGAAATGTAATGATCCAAGCATTGTCCTTTCCACGGCCACCTAAAATAGTATAAAAAACCAAATTAACATTTACATAACAGCAATACAAGGAACAGGATTTTAGATTTGAGAGGGGTGATAAGAAGACGGTTTGGGGCCAATGCAACTTTTACAAGAATGATTGATGATTTCCACAGAAACCAAAGTTGCACCAGGCTCCTGCTTAAGTTTAAAATGTGGCAGAGTGGTTTTGAAATGAAAGAAAGAAAGAAAGAAGAGGAAGAGAGAGGAGAGAAGACAAAATGAGTGAATATAGTCAGAAAAAAGTTTCACAGAATGTGTGTAATAAATGTAGTTGAAAATATAGCTGACTCCTCATATTGGACAACCATGACTATTGGGAAATAACTGTTTCTATACCAATGCTATGAGCCTACATTCAAAATGAGTAATTGACCACTTAGAGTCATGGTGAACATGAAAGAATGCGGGATACAAACTACAGGAAATAAGTGATGTTCTAACAGATTGGTGGAAGAAACAGCATACACAATGACAGCAACCATGGTATCAGAATCTAACTAATGCAAAGAAAGAAAGACTACGAATTCTCTGAGGGTTAAAATTCAGCATGCACCCCACTCCATAGCCCTCTACACAGCCTGGAGGATGAGGAAAATTGAGAATGAAAGCCACCTAATTGCAAGGATGTGCCTTACATGTGTCTAAGGTCCCACTCTGTAGCCAGCCTAACACCTAGGCACAGAGTAGATGCTTAATAAATATTTAGTGCTAAGTGGAAGTTGAATGATTATTTTACAAGGAAAGTTATAGGGTGGTCTTTGAATTTTGCTTGCTAAAAGTTTTTTTTTTCCAGAGGCGTAGCTGTAATTCTTATTTGGCTGAATTTATGTGAATAAAGATACAGGATATAAAAACTCAATATGCAATAAAAACATGTCAAAGGCAAAGAAGATATAATAGAATGATAAAACTAATTCCAAAAGAAAGCAGAAATGAAGGTGGGAAAAGAGCTAATGGACAAATCAAAAACAAATATTAAGATGGTAGATTTAAACCCAGCCATGTGAAAAAAATCATATTAAATGTAAATGATTTTGAGACCCCAATTAAAAGTTGGAGATTATAATTGGATAAAAAAAATCAAAACCCAACTATATACACTGCCTACAAGAAACACAATTTAAATACAAAGACACAATGCATTAAAAGCAAAAAGATGGCAAAAGATATATCATGCTAATTAGTCAAAAGGAAGC